TTTTCCATGAGTAAGTGGGAGTAGTTAATGCATGACCAGATGAATCACACACACTGCACTGTAGCCAATTGTTAGCATCCACCCCTGCATACACAATACGTTATCCCAGGACGTGTGGAGAAGGTCAAATGGCTTGCAGATAAGTGCACAGTCACATGTCATTTTGATTGAATCTTTCCCCAACCCACCTCTAGCTCCCTGTCACTGAGTGATCCTGCGCTGCACAGTGACTGGTTGGATGATTCACTGTTGGCTGAACTCTGGAAAACAGAACACACACACACACATTAGACCTGATTGATTAGTCATGTGACGCTCTGGTGAGCAGATCGTTGTTAGGAAACTGAACATTAGATATTGTTAAATGACCATTTCTAAGTGGCATCCCATGAGGTTTGCTGAAATTCTCATGTAAGTTAACTGACAAATCAAAGTGAAGATTTCCACACATCCTTCTATCTGACAAATTATACTAAGTGCCTCACCCATAATGTGACTCACCTTTTTGGGTGTGTTTACAATCGTAACACAAATTGCATCAGATTCGAGCCCCGTTTCACTGACGTGTGCACATTTATTTTACTTATCCTTTGGCCCCATTTTGTAAGGAAATGTAACACATTCATCCAACAGTTATAACATTGCTGTCGCTAAGCTAAGCTTCTAAGCAAGGATGCTACAATGGGCGTCAAATATACATTCCCCTGTAAATCTGCAAGTCTTGAGTTTACATCCACTTCAGTTGGTGTCATGCATGCATACCACTAATGGCCAGCTGCACAGATTGAAGAGAATGAGAAGAAACAGCAGGCACAGTGGTGCAGGCCAGCTGTCATTCTGCTGCACAAGGTCACAGAAAACAGCCAAGACATGTTCAGATTTCTTTCTCCTAATATGGATACTACACTTGTTCATCATAGTGCCATGGAAATGTACTGTAGTCAGCATGCTAACATCCTAAATCATTGAACTCCACTAAGATAATGAGCAGGCCTAGCAATGCATTTCAGAGCACACAGGCCAGAGCAGGAGTGATGGTGATTGCTTTCTCAGGGGTTGCCATTTTGTCAAACGCACACCCACACAGTAATACACAGTTCAGCGGCAGGGTTGCAGCATAGCACGCCGCCGATGCTGTGAGATTCAGCTGCGGTGCCATTTCAGTGTCACTAATCTCCACTGAAACAAAGAGCTGCTGGCCAGCTCCCATGTCAACCAAGAGAGAGCTCGTGTTGTTTAGCTTTCGCTCAGGGAGACAGGATCATTCCACTGAGGTAAACTCCTGAACACAGAGCATCATTCAACACTGGACATAGAGAAGACTTCCAAGCTTTTCTAAACTGGAGGACTAACAGAAGAGAGCTGACTGACTGCTTATGTTTGCAACACAAACAACAGTGGGATTGTGGGATGTGTGCATAGGAGCTACTCTTTTGTAACTGTCTTTTTTTTGGCAGGGATAAGAAGGAACCCTCATGTAAATGTATCAACAACAAGTAACAGTCATCTCCTATTACGTTGCATTTAAAGCATTACATCTGCATTAACAATCAGTACTTTTCCCAGCCGATAATTGTGAGCATCAAACAAATATAAAACTATAAAGAGATGCTAACCTTTGCCACACCAAGTCCAGTGAAGCGAGCCTCAAGCAGTTCCTGCCTGCGTGGGTCCAGACCTAAAGCCTGGCTGTGAAGTCCTTCCATCATGCCTAAAAAGAGAGACACAATGCATGGAAATGGAAGTTAGGTGGAGTAGCTATGTTGGGCTATTGTCAAACAAGTTAAACCAGCAGGAACCCAACAATCTAGTCAATCCTGAGGTCATGGAAGCCCGGGACTAGGTTGGATCAAAAATATTTGGACATCCAAGTGACACAAGGGCGGTGGTGGCGAAGTCGATAGGGACTTGGCTTGGCAACTGGAAGGTCACAAGTTCAAGTCCCGGCAAGACCAAGTGCTACCGAGCAAGGCACCGTTCCCTACACTGCTCCCCGGGCGCCGTTCAAAATGGCAGCACACGGCTCCTAACACTAGGATGGGTCAAATGCAGAGAAACAATTTCCCCACGAGGGATTGATAAAAGTCCATCTTATCTTATCTTACAGTGATAAAATAAAGACACAAAGCAAACTTGTTTTAGAGCTTCCTACCTTTGCTAAGAAACCAATTTTAAATTAAATAAGTTAAATTTTGTTCTGAGGAAGAAAGCACAATGGCAAATGTGATTTGAGGTCCTTCATTAAAGACCTTGTGAAATAACTTGAGCTAACAGACAAGGTTGACACCCAGCAGAACTTTGAACTGTTATGATAGGTTGCTTTATGGTTAACTTTTGAGATAACTTAACCCTGGCAAAGAAGGTGAAAACTAATTCTGCCAGATTCTGGTAAGTGTGGGCCATGAAGGTATATTCTTTCAAGTGAAGTGTGTCTTTTCACTAGTTGTATCTGCAAAACTCCTGCATGTTAAAAGGTTTAAATTATGTGTAAGGTGGATATTCAAAATGACAAACCATAAAAGCAAGTGAGTGGGAAAATACTGGTGAGGAGGTAATTCCCCACTGTCATAACATTCCTAATTTAAATTCAGGGAGACATTAAAGCAAAATTACCTAAAATAATCTTTAATATGGTTATTTTATGACCATATTAAAGAACCATATGGCAGGGCACGACTTCCCTTTGCCATATGGTAACTCCTCCCTGTCAGGGTATCCATCAACTAGCGATGGATTCATCATGTTATCATTATGACTGTCACTTAAAACAGAAGAGACAACCAGACAATATAAACATTATAGTTGTGCCAAGGAATTTAACATAAGAGAGCAAATTTTTCCTTAAAAGCCTACCAATTTGTATTACAAAATAGACAATAATATGAAGCTTCATTTAAACTTTTATGACAAATAATTACGTTCAACTCTAATTAACTTTATTTAACGAGGATAGTAGATGGAAAATCTCTCACAGTAATTGACTGACAAGAAGACGTTGACTTACTGTAGCAAGTTAACGTCAAATGCTATTATGCTTATGAAAATCTTGCGAACATTTTAAGAAAGGAAAGCGGACATGCACTGTCGCATACTAGGAATCAATTAAAAGTTTAGTTTTGGTAAAAGCAGTTAGGCTAACTGGTTATACTAAATCATTGATAGCTAAGGCTACATGACATGTCATCTAAACTGGCTAGCGTTAAGTTATCTAGCGAGCTAACATTAGCTGCAAGTCTCACCTGGAGAAGCTCTCGCAGTTTTCACAGCCCTAGAGAGGATGTTGTCCGTCCATCCGGTGACAGCAAACTCCTTAACACTTCCCATGCATCTCAAATAAAGTTGTCCGGATTGAGTTATCCATTTATAGTTCTTTCTCATTCAGTGAAGACATTAGTCAGCTAAGCTAATGCTAGCTAAAGAGAGCGGTGTGGCTGGCTCTCGCCGGTGTCATCCGGACAGGAGGCCCTGATCCTCGGGGTTTCCTCGTCCGTCTTGGTGCCCTCGCACGGGCAAACCTGGAGCTGTCAACGCTCTGAAGCTTCTTGGCAAGTGTTGTCACATATCTGCTTCACTCGGTCTTTCTATTGTCATTATCCCGCGATGTAACGTTATACAGGGAGAAGTTCGGCAACCTTGTTAGAGTCCATCCTTGAAATGTTAATTAAAAATCCTTACCCCTTGCAGTAACACCGAACAGGGCTCCAGGGAGAGCTTCATGTGATGCTTTCCGTGCGCTTGTTTAACAGATAATGTAACTGCTGGTGAGAACAAACATGCAGCATATGGTAGGCAAGGCTGGTTATCCAATGGGGCACTGCTCGGGGCCCCAGAGCTCCAGGGGCCCCAACAGTCCCAGGTTTTGACACATTTCGGATTTATATGTCAACTTTTAGCACTAGCCTGAAATATAATGATGTTTCACGAGACTAATCACGCCAAATAAGAGGATGTGCCACTCCCTGATGAAATGTTTTGTTATTTGATATAATGTTCCCAAGGACAACATCTAAATACGAAGCTTTTCCAACACATGTATCCACCGGCCGGGCCCCTCGTCCATAAACAACCCAAGGGGAGAGAAAACGCCACAAACGGCCATGTCACTAAATATAATTCAGAGTTTGTTCGTCTTTTTTGCCATCAACTCTAGCGTATGCGTAGTGCCTTAGATATATGTTGTTTGTTCTAACACACAGCAGCAGGATCAGTGCGTCTCCAAACGGAGGGAGGCGCTGCCTGTGCCATTTTACGCACGCCTCGCAACACCGATAACTCAACCCAATTGACCTAATCTGCAAGTATACTGCTCCGTGTACGATGTATAATTCATCTTGGATAGTTCAGTTTGTATATTGGATTGTATTACTATATAACAGACAAGCACCAAAGTTATAGTTATGCGGTGTAAATCCAGGAGATGGCAGCAGAGCACTGCAAAACGCCCGGCGTACTCAGTGTAGGTCAGTGTAGCAGGGATGCAGCACAAACATTAATAGTCCTCTCTAACTGTATTAAAAGTGTTTATAATCTAGCTTTGGCTTTTGTAAAACCCTGTAATGCGTCATTTGGTCTAAAATTCAATCATCTTTGTTAAACCATAACCTTTCTTCTCATGTATTAATTATTTTAGCCGGTTGAGTGATGTGCATCCTGTGTATATGCTGATTGTTGAACAAATCACCAAGAGGCAGAACATTTAAAGTGAAATATTGACAGGGCTTGATAAAATATTATCACAGGCCACTTTGCAGACTCTAAAGAAAATGTGAATGAGAGAAACTCTGGTTGTCTGTCATTGTGGTATTCTTGGGGAAATAGTTAAAAAACAAGACGTGGAGTGAAAATAGTAGTTGTTGTACAAAACAACTTAAAAACTTCATCATTTACAACAGTGTACATTTTTTCTATCAAAAAGTAATGATACTACTTATAATACTAAAATAAATGTCATGAGACCATTGATGAAAACCCTATCTCTCAGTGAAAAACAAGAAACTGCACCAGTTTTCAGACAATTAAAAGTTTACTGCAGACCACATATATCTCCGCATGGCTTGACTGATTAAAGACCATTGAAAATGTTGCCATCGTTCCACTGTTGGGACAAATGGGAAATCCAAAGTTATGATCAGAAGTTTTTTTAGATTATTATCTGCCCTTATTGTTTTCCACTGGTTTCCAAGTGATCAGCTGACATGTCCATCTCTTAAAAAGTATGTTTCCCACTAAACCTCAGTGGTATCCAGTCATGTACATAGTTGTGGTTTTATCTCCTGAGCCAGATATTCAGAATAATCTACAGATCATTTCGCTAATGTTTTCTATTTAAAACTACTTTTCACCAATGAAGAAAAGAAAGAAAATGGAAAACCATTAAAAAAACATTTTCCAAACTTTGGGGCACCATGTTTATCTCAATATATAGGCAAATGAAAATATTTGCTGCACACGGCAGGATACTATGTGTGGGTGTAAGTATGTAAATATATTTTTGTGATTTAGTTAAAACCTGCACAACACAAGACTTCTTTGTCGACCCAAAAAAATCAAAGCATTATCTCATTTATCAGTGTAGTATAGGTGGCTGTTTATGACAAATCCCTGATAAAATGTGTCCTCAGAAATCATTTATACATATTTACAAACACAAATAATTATTCATTATTGACTTGTGACAGTAGAGGCCTGCACATGATTCGCTGCCTTCCCAAAAAAAAAGATAAAAGTCCATTATTCTTCATCCGTGTTGAGTTCAGTAGCATCAGTCTTTTCCTCTGTATGTAATGTTTGTAAAGGTAGATGTGGCTCCTTTGTAGAGAGGATTGTGTCCCTGTTGGTCAAATACACAAAGAAGACATCAATTAAACTGAGTTTCACAACAAACAAGTTCATTCTTATGGTTTAGTATTCTAGGAACATTTGAAAAAAGGAAACCAAGGGAAATGCAGAAGCGAAAGAAAAGTGTAACGTTTTCATTTCAGTTACTTAGTGAGCACCTTAGAACTACACTGTGTTTCTTAGTGGTTTCAGGGTCTTTGGGATTTGGGTGTGTTTTAGAGGCCTGTTAGTGTTACCAGTAAAGGATAATTAGCATTACCTAATTTAAACCCAGCCCTTCCGCTGGCTTTTGTTCTGCTGGGAGTAACAGCATGCCCCAAAAATAATAAAAAACATCTTCAGAAAACAAATCAGAGAGACTGCGTGTGTGGCCTTTTATGTGTTAGTGTCTGTGTGTTAAAGGTACAGTCATGATTGCATTAGTGTGTGCCATGTCACGCTAAAATAATTAATCCAAGGAAAGAAGATCTAGTGCATTTAGTGTTGTTTAATTGATCTTTTTTTATTTACATCTAAATGAACCTTGACTATACCTTTCGTTAATCTAAGTTTTAACAAAGAGCCTAATGAAGAATGTACACACACATGTCACCACGTGCTACATTTACTGACCGTGTCCCACTTGGCATGAGCGCGTTCTTCCTCAAATTTTGCAAACTCCCGTCTGTCGTGAATGGTGACCAGCAGTTTCCAGATGAGTAGAGCCGCCAAGCCGAGGAACAAGATAGCTCCTGCCACCGACAGAAGCACCACTAAAATGTCTGGACCCTTGGGGCAGTCTGAATTAAGGGAAAAAATATATATAAAATAATAATGAGAAGGGGACACAGGAGACGATTAGCCAGGAGGCAGTCCAGAGGAAGTGATAATGATTTCCATCCTGTCATGGCACTAGATGATGTTGCTAATGTTCCTCTGCTAAATGCTATTTTTTCAGGTTAAAAGTGTGCTTTTAAATCCTGAGAATATTCACTTGACACCCTAGTCATTTCATTATAAATAAATCTGCTCATTACCTTCCTGATTTATAATCGCTTTGTCCAGAACATGTCAGAAAATGGGGTCCATCCCAGTTTCTCAAAGCCCAAGGAGATTTTTTTAAATGTTATTGTTCAATCTGACCATATATAAATATATTTATATTCACTTTATTATAATATAATAAAGAGAAAAGCACTGATTCTCCATTTTTGAGAGGCTGATAACACAGATTCCATACATTTTGGCATGAAAAATTACTTTAAAATAACTATTTATAGTTGCCAATACATTTTCTGTCAATCACCTAATGGTTGCAGGTTTTAATTCTAGCATGAAGGCTTTCTTAACGATATTATCTGTCAAGTGATGCAAGATTAGTCCAATGGGACCTTTAAATACCAAAGAGCAGAGAGGAGGATGGGCTGATGGGAAATAGTAACCTCAAACATCCAGGCCACAAACGTCCCTTCCCTCTTTATGGTCTGGCAAAACTAAGGAGGAATTTGATTTGAAGAGTTCCATGCAGGCTGTACAAAAGATGTCTGAAATAACTCTCCCTCTAACATGAAGGCTTATTTTCCATCATTAGATGTTCTGGGAAACTTTCTCCGAAATGAACCAACAAACATGTTTCCGAATTAATGGAGATAATTAATGAGAGCACTTTGAGGCAATGTACTGCTGAATCATTCTTTATTTGATGCCTACAACTTCTAGTCTAAATAGTTGTTTGAGAGGAAGTCACATGAACAATCTAAATAGTTCACTGATGGGGTTTTGCCCGTTTTCAAGCTGTATTCATTATCGACAATGCAAATGGCTCTTACTTGGAACCAATTAGTTTAGTATGTTTTATTCCCAGATGAATCAGATTAGCAGCATTAAGCTCTTCACAAAGCTTCATAAACCCTTAAAGCCTAAAAACTTCTGAACTGTAATAACAGTTTGTTTTATTGGGCACTTGGGGGCAGTGGAAACAAGCTGTAAATACAAAACATGACATATTGTCACTTTTAAATTGATATGTCTTATTTTTTAGCTAACAGTGGCCATTTCTTCTATAATATGCCCCAACCAACACTTTAAATATTCCTACCAGCTAGCCACTGACTTTGCCCATCTGCTGTGCCTACAATGATCTTTACAAAAAACAGATGCGTGCTGTTACCAAAAAAGACACTTAAGCAGTGAGAGTGAACCAAACCAGTTAAGTTGTGGGCAGGAAAACCAAAACAATTAGCGGAATTAGCTGACAGTTGCTATTAAGCTGTGTGGAGGGGGTAATTCATCTCTGTGGGTTTGTCGCTGAAAATGGCTTCTGTCACATCCAAGTAGTCATCTTATTTATAGTGAATATAAGCTTTTCACCAAAGCTACTATCATTTTGTTTGTTGAGCACTTTGTAGTGAATATAAATATTTTATTTGTGTTCATGGTTCCATGAAGCATGAACTGAAGTCTGGCAGCAATTGAGTTTCTTCATTGCAAAAATGTCTTACCTTCACACTTCTAGCCACCAGTGATGAGAGCCACCTGGTCCACATGTGTGAGCATCATTTGTTTGTCAGACTGGATGTATGTCTGTTACTGTATGGGACTATTTGCAGTGGTGGAATGTAGCTAATTACTTTAATCAAGTAAATTAGTACAATTTAGTCAAAAAAATACTTAACTAAAGTATCACCATGTTATACTACTTTATACTTTTTACTCACTACATTTATTTATCACTCATAACATGGCCAGGTACATTTAAATATAAAAATACATAATATACTTATTTGATATAATGCACTACTATACTACTTATAAGCCCAGTATTTAGCAAAGTCTCTCAAATTTGCTCCACGCTGACAAACTTTAAAATACTCGTGAGAAAACTGGGTAAAATAATATTCTAAAATAATACAATTCTGTGAAAGACCAATTTGCATACTGTGTACTTTTCTTCTGATACTTGAGTACATTTAGCTGATAAATCCTTTGTACTCTATACTATTCTGAAATGGGCTATGTGCAGAATCAATACTTTTACGTTTTGTACTTGAAGTACATTTTCATGCTAATACTTTTGTACTTTTACTCAATTAACATTTTGAAATCAGGACTTTTACTTGTAATGGAGTATTTTAAGACCATAGTGTTTCTGCTTTTACTTAAGTAAAGGATCTGAGTACTTCTTCCTCTGACCATTTCTCTGTGTGTGGGACAGCACATACAAATGTGCATAGTAGTGTTGGGTAACCAGGGTGAACTTTTACTGCCGTCTTCAAAGCGTTTCTCCTCTTCCTCTCCCCATTACTTCCTTCTATTTACTGCTCTTTGGATCCTATCGCCCGATTCATTATGGCTTATATGTAAAAGTCAGGTTGGTGCTTTGAGACTATTTTTTAATTATCAACTTCAAAATATGTAAAAAATTGCTAGCCACCTTTTAAGCGCCTGGTTTCCATCTTATCCTCTTTGCTTGTGTTCTCCTTTGTTACACACCTTCATGTTTCCTTTCTAAAATGTTCTCTATCCCTTTCTTTTGCTTGCTTAGTTTCCTCTCTTATTCTCACGCGTTCCTTCTGGAAGAACATGCCGAATCAGCGGCTTCCTAGAGGAGCAGGGCAGCTGTTAACGACCCTCTTTGACACGGCGGGGTTCCCTGTGTTCAAGGCAAATGTTGGTGTACTTCTCTGCTCTCCAGTTGCGCCTTAATTAAACACACACATTCATTAAAGGCAGACCTAGGGGCAGACTTTCTTTGCGGGCACTGGTGGTCATTAAAGGCTTTCTTACCTCCCCACACTCTTTCTATTTGGCCGCTTTACAAGCAGATGAAGGGCAGGCCGCAGGGAAGTGACAACTTGTACTTGGGTGGAGAAAAAAACACTGATTGTGAAGGCAAGTGTGCTTGTTTGGCTGAATGGAGATGCTTTTGTGGTTGTAGATTCAATCCTTTTTATCTGAACAGTCATTTCTTCCATTGTGCTTCCCTCATCGCTTTCACACTTACTTACCAACCTCCCCAATCGTTTCGAAGTGCTGTTCGTTTTGGCAATGCTGTCTTAAAGGAAATCAGGTTGCTTTCAGTTTTCCACAAAGAGGAGCAACTACCAACTACACTACATTTTGGTTTCCACAGTTCAACTGCCCCCTATGTTTGCTAATGGGAATTGGGCAACATGACTAAAAATAACTTTAAATTGACCTGGTAACTGGGGAACGCTGTTATCTGGGAGAACAGAAGCACTTCTGTCTTCCTGTTTAGTTGAGAAACAACTCGACTAAACCCGTTTGACCGTAGACAGGATTGCATAACGTTGAATATTCTCTTCTTTAAGCGCTTGTTCTGGTCCTTACCAAATATCTGCCACGTTATCTTTTAACTCCTCCACATTCTTCACCAGTTTGTTGCTAACTTTGTGTTTTGTGTAGAGGTTTGTGTGTAGGTATCTCTTACCTGGCTCTTTGACGACAAACAAGATGGACTTGCCGCTGGAGTCCTCATAGTACTGGAAACGCTCCACACAGTCATCCTCATCTTTGTAAGTGCAGTTCACAGCATTTGTATCATGAAGCACTGCACGAACATTCAGGAGAAAAATTCAAGTATAACAATTGGTATTTGGTAAAGGCACTTTTGGTGTAACAGATACCTCAACATCTTAAGAAAGCTGCAAAACACATTGATATGTGTTAGATGTAACATGGAGCAACTTTAATAAACTCTCTTTTCATTTCACATATCTTTAATCATAGAATTGTTTAAGAAGCTTTTCTGTTATATCGATTTAATTTCTTATATAATGGCGTTTATTTGGACTACATTCAAATCGGGATGCTGTGTAAGAAATAAGAAATCAATCATTCTTCCTCTTATACATGGCCATTTTCATTCAAAATCAATAGCATTGTTGCTCAATTCTAAACATTCAGGGGTTTTGCTTCTAAGATCTCATCATTTATTTTTTAAAACTTTTTAATTTCTATTTCAGAAATATTTTGGACTGTTTATTTCTTGTGTCTTAATTTCTCTCATGTACATTGCCTTTATTTATGCTGCTGCAACGCAAACATTTCCCAAATTGGGATCAATAAAGTACCTATCTATCTATTAGCAACAGTTATAACAGTTTCTCACCTATTTCATCCACAAGCACAATCTCATCCTTGCAGATTCGAGAGCAGGTGTTGTCGTCGAACAGCTTGCCCCTCTTAAAGTGTTTGCACTCCACACACTCCCTTTAAGAAGGAAACAAACATCAGGTCATCATTTCAAATCACTTTTTAGAATACTGATTATGATATATGTGTGCAGGCTCACTTCTTCATGGTGCAGGCGTCGGGGCAGGTGGGGCACTTGTCACACGTGGCCCCGTAGGCCCCTGGCTGGGTGCACTCACAGGCCCCACACTCACAGTGACCCCTCCCATTGCACAGCAAGCCCACGTTGGACATACAGGTGTCAGTACGTCTGGAGCAGTTACAGTTCTCACCCTGCCAGTCTGGGTCACACTGGCAGAAACCACAGTTACAGACGCCATGGCCTGTCAGGGAAAAAATGGATAGAGGAGATTCTAAAACATTGTTTACCAATACAACACGTGCTATTTGGAGTAAAATAGCAAAAGAGGAAGCAATTAAACAACAATAATCTATCAATAGAAGTAGTACAAAAACAGGGGTGTGGTTGGAGTTGTGAAAGAGGGAGGAAAGATGAGGATGGCATGTCTGTAATTTCAGTTGTTGTGCATCATTTGTTTTAAACAACTATTTTGATAAGCTTGTTTTTATGACTTTATCATTCCATGTTATAAACCATTGAATTCATATCTCCCCGGAGCACAGCCTGTCACAACAGGATATCTTTGGGAAATATTGCTCCTCTAGTATCTAAAATAAAGTTCTGTGAGCTGGAACAATGTCTGATGGTCAGAATGAGTTGGTAATGACTGGACGTGGTACGACAAAGACTCATGAATATATTTACCACAAGCTGTGTCATTTTCAGTATTTTCCCGTTGCGATGACAAGTCTTAACTTTGAGAAATGACTTGGTCCCTCTCTTTACAGACACGGTACCAGGTTTTTACAATAAAGTGAAATAAAAGAACAACGCGTTTACCTTCATGTTACATTTGATTCATTAATAATCAGTGTTTTGTCTTGCTAAGACATTTCATAGCTCCATAAGTATTGTATCTCTTGAATTGTGATCCCAAACAATGGAAAAGCAGAAGTTGTAGCTTGTGTTCCGACAACTGTTAAAGTGATTGTGTGTCTGTGGTGTCTGGAAAGCTTTTATTTTGGGCTGCATGATTCAGTGTCGGTGTGTATGTGGGTACATTTGAGCACATTGGTTTGCTGTTGTTCATGTACGTGTGATGTGTGCATGCAAGAGAGTGACAATGCAGAAAATATTGTGGTATATCACTGCAAAACAATGTTCAGATAAACAATGAGACAGGAAGCTTCTTGGGTCAGTGGATCTGTCATTACCACTCGACCAAAGGACCACTGGCTTTTAATTAGACCTTTCTGTGGGGGGAGCAAAGAAGACTATGGTCCTCACACTGAAAAAGGTATTTCAAGACAACAGCAGACCATGTTTTACACACAGAACAATTCCAATTCTCCCCCACTTAGCCCTTTCCTGACCAAACATGGGTTTATTTTTAGCCCCATTACACCACACATGCCAAAGTGTAAGCACAAAGGTATTTTCATGTTAATCTGCGGGCTTTGGGGAATACAGCCAAAACATTTCTGTGTGAGAGCAGCAAAAGGGGGGTGAGTGATACATGATAACTGATGACGTATTGAAGTTTGAGGCAGTCTGTGCCAAAACGTGGCCTAATGCAATTTTTAAAGCTGAATTATGACATACCCTTAGCAAAACATATATAACTACTTATACGTTACTAAAAGGAAATGCCACAATAAAGAAGAGCACTTATTTTGCCTCCATGATCTCTAATTTTCTTCCTGCTTATTCTATACTTTATATTAGCAGTTGTTTTGGATTCTTTTGAGGTTTAGATGAGAAGACTAATGCCACTTTCCATCATACAAAAATCTGAACCCTTCCTGTTACCCTCGTGTGTTAGTCTATGCTAATATAAGCTAACCGGTTGCTCTCTGTAGCTTTTTTTAAACTGACAAAGGAGGATCTTGTAATCTAATACTCAGTAAGAAAGCAAATGAGTGTATTCCCCAAAATGATGGACTATTCCTAGTATAGTTTATTGCAAAAGATAAGAAAGAGATAACCTCTAGCTGTCAGTAATGAAAGCAAATAAACTACCGTACCATTAGGAAGAGACGGACAGCATGCTATGCATTGTCTAACCCCTACTTAACACAGCTAATCTCACTTGAAGAATCGCTATTAAAATCCCCATTACAAACATCTTCAGAGTATGATGTGTTATGACTTCTTGCTGACATAATGTCTCTTAAAATATGAGGAGGAGGATCTTGAGGCTCTGAGTTAAAGCTCTTAAGAATTATCAAAAACAAACTCATTCCCACAGAAAAGTGAGAGTCAACTCTGAAGTGAGCTACCGTTAAACTTAAAAAGTGTTCTCTGTGAATGAATCCTGCTGAACTCCATGGTACAAAAGCACGGCTCGGCAGACAAAAACATACAACCTGAACACACGCACACAGGGTGAACAAACTAAATCATGTTTATTATAAGTGGAGCCATGTCCTGGGCAGGAGGCAGGGTTGTTTTTGTATGTAATTCCCCCCAGATGAGGTGGGTGGCAAGTCAGTGTGGTGAGGGGGACTGCCAACTCTCAGAACAAAAGCAGGCTACTCTCATTCTCTATTGCTCTACCAGACAGTCAGTGGGCAATGTTAACCTTCTTTGTCTATTAATTGTATCCATATGCTTGCTGTGTGCTGTAAAAACTGAATAGTTTAATATTTTGGGAAAGCAGCAAATCACATATAATCATATTGGAGATGCCATGACCCTTTTGCCATTTTTGAATAACAAATTACTTTTTGAAGAAAAAATATATTAAGAAAAAAGTCAGAACCCAGTTGTTCCAGATTCTCCATTGTGACCATTTGATGGTTTCTACAATTGTAAGTTAAAGATCTTTGGGCTTTAGACTGGTCATACAAAACGTGACATCAGAAGATATCACCCTGGTGTTTGTGATATGACTGTGATGAGCTTTTTCACTTCTGCCTTAGCACAAGTTGCAGTTCTTGATAACATTTCTGTCAATTAACTATTATCTTCTCATTGTTTCTCTTTTCATTTCGTTTAAGATGCTCAGGCCCCTACAGTAGAGAGAAAACAGGATCTTACCTGAGCACAGATCCCCCTTGTAGCGCAGGCAGTTGAAGTCGTCACACTCACACAGCTTTCCCCAGACCTTTCCAAAGTCGCTGTTGTGACACACACACTGTCCGCACACACAGTCCCCCCGGCCACTGCAGATGGCAGACTGGGGTCCTCCGGAGCCCGCGGGCCCGCTGCAGCGGTCCTGCTCCGTGGGGTTATAGTCCCCCTCGGCACACTCGCAGTGCGGCCCCAAGCGGCCCGGGTGGCACTGGCAGATGCCGCACTCGAAGGTGCCGTTGCCATGGTTGCATTTGGGGCTGTTGGGCTGGGCCTTGTTCTGGCACTTGCAGTCGCACTCAAAGTTGACGGTGATGGAGAGAGAGTCCTTGAAGCCCACAGGCTTAATGATGAAGGTCTTCTTCTTCTGTTTGGGGCAACCACGAGCTCTGGCTTCAACACTGAAAGACACCTGGAGGAGAGGAGGGAAGTCAAGTTAAAATAATCCATGATTAGGGTCAAAGTCATGCTTAGAGCCCTCTTTATTAGATTTTTCATGACATTTTCTGCATCCACACTTTGTAAAACTAGCCATTCTTCTGTATCAACCTGGTGTGGATTACCTAACATGTAACAGCACTTAAATGGTTCATTTAATGGTCGCTCAAATTGTGAGCATTCTCTGTGGAAACTGCACAAAGACCTGACACAGGGAAGGCCTCCATGTGTGTTAAGTCAAAGTATTTGTTCATTCAGCGCTGTATCCAAATCTGGTAAATGTCCAAAAGGGGGAGAAGTTACTACATCTGGAGAGACAACCATATATGGAAAAATAAGAGGGGCTTAGGCAGAGAGAAGAAATGTACGGAGGCCAAAAAATGTCACCTGGAGTGAGAAGAGAACAAGGAAAAGAGCCAAAGAAGCTGTGATGAAGAAAAAATGCTAAATAAAAGGAACTAAAAGCATACTAAGCAGACAGTTTGCTCTAAATGCAGAAGTACAGAAGAAGGATCAAAAACAGTCCTTATGCATGTTTTTCCAACATTTGCTTTTAACACCACCAGGAAATCCTACAGCCAGAAGGGAAATGGAAAGAGGTGAAAGAAGAAGGTGCAAAATAGTAAATGGAAAAAATGTTACATGTTATTTCTGCAATTGTATGATAACAGCCAGACACATTGGCGGGACAATTGACAATACTGTTACCAACCTGTATGCAGCCACCCATTTAAAACATACTTCAAACACATTTTCTTTAATAACAACTTTCATTATCGCAAACATTTTATTTGGCAAATCATTTTTTTTAAGGGAATTTTACAAAATAAAGTATAATTTTCTTTTTACCTCTGCAACCTACTTATCCTTGTTGCAGGATGTTGACATCATTTCAAGACATTTCCTGTGACAAAGAGTGACGATGACAGTACTACTACATTTGAATACAACCGTTTCCCAGCTAGTAAAACAACAATGTTCTCCTTCAAACTTTCCTTCAAGCTAACATTTTTCTGGTAATAAAGTCACTCTTAAGGAGTCATAGGCCAAAAAAAAGGGGGGGGGGGGGGGTATGGACTGACCGTATCCCCTATCTTGAGCCCAGAGCAGGATTTGAGGCCAGGGATGAGCTCTCCATTCAGACAGGTGGCATTGAATGACAGGGACAGCTCCTCCGGGACGCCTTGAAGCTCCAGCTCCACCCTGGACCGGATTTTCTGTTAACAGCAATGAAGAACAACAGCGGGAAACACATACACATGGAGGAATGAGTATGTAGGGTAGCACACTGTGGCCAAAATGTTCGGTGTCAATTTTGGTTGTGTGGAGCCAAATCCCATTTTTTTCTACAACTACATCATGTAAGCCAATAAACTCATTTAAGTGTGCACACATTAGCAAACACGCTTGTATGCACATCTCTACACAAATTAACAGCTATGACTATTAAAGCTACATTTGTCAGCAAATTCACTTGTTCCCTGCATAATGAATTCAAATAAAACATGGATAATGAAACACAGCCAGTAGCCTCCCACATTTGGTCAGCTTCACACCTCGGCCAATGTGGAATTTTTTTGTAGACTTTTGCTCGACAGTGTGTATGACTCAGACGCTGTGGGTGGGTGTCAGCAAACACATGTCATCCACTGAAACACTGTCTAGTCGAAATGTGTGTGTATAACACTTACAGCGTAGGCTTTCAGAATGAGCTGAATAACGTTGCCCGAGTCGTTCGACAGTGTTCCTACTGTGGTGCCAGGAATCAGCTCACTGTAGTTCTACAAGACAGAAAGACAGACGGACAGAATGTTGTCATCCTACTAGCCAGTCAGGGAAACTATTAATGAATGTACTAATTAATAGAAACAAGGTGTAATAGTATGATGACCCAATGTTATTTAACATCTTGACTTGTGTTCCTTTATGGTCAATGGGAGTTTGGTATGCATGTCCTCTATTTCTTCTCCTGTTATGAATTTCTTAATAATAGTTTGCATATTGCTGCTGCAGTTTCCAATGCAGGATCCAAGAATGTCAGTTTAAAACCAGCGGGGTTTGGAGGACTTTAGCTACAGTGTGTTTAAGATGACATGATTACTGTGTTGGATTTGTCACCCTCTCAATTTCAGTTTTCAAATATTAGCCTAATTTCCTCTTTTAAGCAGAACTTGAAGAGAATAAAATGCTGGATGTTCTCAGTGTGAATGCAGAGCTACTGACCTGGTACAGAGGAACCACAGGGTTGGTGACGGCAAAGATGAGATTGATGTTGTTCTCCGACGTCTTCTCTGTGATCAGAGCTAGAGAAGGGTAATCCTGAGGAGAAACCGGACAGTGTGGTTAGCAAACATAAACTCTAATATATTCCTTTTCATACGTTAAACAAAGGGGTGACATTGTCTTAGTTTCTCTCTCACTCTGTTTCTGTCTAAGGTCTGCGCACCAAAAACACACTTACGGTTAACACTAACCATGGTGGTAGACATGCTGTACATATTGTCAGAGTTGAGGTGGCACTTTCCGTCGTTTGGCTGCACGATTCCAGCCAGACGACCATCCAGAGCCATGTGAGTCTTAGCGTCTGAGGTGAAGATCAGAAGGTGGGAAGCACCGGGACGCCAACCGATCCGCTCCTGGAACCCATTAAGCCAGGTTCAAGCAAAAAGAAGGAAAGTCAAATTATTTAAATGAGCTTTTGAAGGAGGAATCACTTTTTTTGGCCCTTATCTAAAGCAGGAAAAACTCTTTAAAGGTCACCTATTATGCAATATCCACTTTTATACATAAATAGCTGTCCCCTCTGCGTTAAGAGATTTTGAACGTTTCAGGAAAAAATATTCGCTCACTTTTTGTCCTGATCCATTTATATAAAAACCTGTCTGAAAATGTGCTGATCAGATTTTGGCCACTTTATGTCATAACGTTTTTTTGGCTGGTGTAACCATTAGCGAATCACCAACTAAGGTAACACCCCCCCACCTTATCACCTGAATCTCCTCCTAGAGCACCATTGTGTTCTTTTTAACCAAATATCTCTCAGAGGGGCGTGGGGAGTGGCAGTTCATTTGCATTTAATGTAACAGACACAGAATCAGCACTTTTGAAACAGGGCTGAAACAGAGGGGATTATGGGATGCTGCAATGATCTGTTTGGTATTTGGAGCCAAACACTTCAGAGACATGTTTTGTATATATCTGAGACCTATAATATATTGATGAAAAACAGTATAATAGGGGACCTTTAAGATCAACTTATGTTTAAATGTGTATGAGTGTGAGGAGGAAACAACTACTATAAGATCAAATCAGAGTCATGTGTGTGAGACGGTGGGTGAGTCTCTCCACCTTGCATACGGCAGCCTGGACGATGGCATCGAAGCCTCCCTCGGGGGCATCTCGGTTCCTGGACACCATCTGCTTCTTCACTTCCTCCGTGAAGCGGCCCACCTCCTCCGTCAGGGACAGAACGTGTTTGTAGCCAAACTGTGGCAGGCAGGTGGTGTTAATGCTGTCAATGAAGCAGAGAACATCAAGAGTTCACTAGAGCTGCTGTTTGATTCTTCATTAATTTCAACATCTGTATATGTCATTGTAAAAAATATGTGGCCTCCATAAATTATTAAAAGCAGTTCAATGTTATTAAAGCAAGGGGGGTTAATTAACATTTAATTAAAAGTCTCTCCTACACTGCTGGTTGACCCCTTTTTCTCTCTGTATTCCACATTATTATTGGACTCAAATTCCCCCCTTTTCTTATCTTTTACACAAACATTCCTGGTGGCTGGAGCTCAGCAGACTGTGTGTAAAGCAAGTGACCCCCTAGAGACCCTAAACCACCAATTCCCCCTTAGAGGAGCCTTTGGCCGGAGTAACAGCCTTTAGCATCAGGACGCTCTCAGTCTACGGGCAGATTACCTGCGGCTGATTCCCAGTAGCTGACCTAGCACCTCTGTAAGCCTTTAACAAGTGCTGTGACTCTGGGCATGCTTGCGTTTTGACTTTGCAACACTGTGTTTAAAGCATGGTTTAAAGGTGTCCTCACTATAATGACATCAGCTACCTTATGAAGCTAGTTGTCCACAAGCAGACATAAACAACCAGTGAAATCAACACCAGTGGGTAATAATTAAGAATGCAAAACAATGGTAGGCTAAATGCAACCACAAAAACAATCTTTCTATAACAAAGGGATCTGGATTCTGTTTAGGTACCTATATGAGGCCCACTGTTCAAAATGTCAGTGTAGTTGGACAATGACAATCTTAAGTCCCAGACTACATATATAACATAAAACAAATTTTAAAAACAATAAAATGAGTGCAAGAAGAAACAGAGTAGAAATAAAATGGTGCAAGAGAATGTCACAAGACTAAAGTGCAAGTAATGCGTAGGGGTGCAACAACTAATCGCATTAATCGATTAAAATCGATTACCAAATTAGTTGCCAACTAATTCAGTCGTCGATTCGTTGGTGACGTCATCATGTGTGTTTTACGCGCCATTAAGCTCCAACGTTATTGGTCTTTTTATCGGTACTGGAGACATTTAAAAAATATATGTCATGTATTATTGCTACAAAAAACATTATATCGCAGTCTTAGTGTCGCCAACTCGTTTCTAATATGCAAAAAGACAAACAAATGCGTCTATGATGTATTTTCGATCAGACGAGATCTCTCTCCCCCGTCTGTGTGCGAGGGGGCGGGGCAGTTTACACACACGCAGCTGCTACATGCAGGCAGCCAGCAACACACACACACGGAGGAGATGGCGGAGAGAACGCGCTCCGAGGTGTGGTTAAACTTTACCCGTCTCGATGTCGACAATGCTCGTTACCAAAAGTGCAATAAGAGTTTAGCATGTAAGGGCGGTAACACGAGCAATTTGTCTACACATTTAGCAAAGGTGCTCCACATTCAGACGGAGAAATGCACCGGGTTCGACTGTCTTTCTCGTAGCTCTGTAGCCCCATCCACGAGTAACGTTTCCACGTCAGGTGTTATGTATGCTAGCAGCAACACAGAGTTAACTCAATTATACAAACATGGGTTAATGATTAGAGGTAACTGATTTATTTTTGTTAAAGTTTCAGCTATTCTGTTATCACATTATTTAATACGATTTGTTAAAACACTTGTTTCTTTTGATGTGAAATATTATTTATTTTATTTAAATAAAAAGCAATGTTAATTTTAATCAAGTATTCATATTTATTGTCTTCATTGTTAGTTTCCACATGCCTAAAACAACCTCAAGCTAAATCTAAAAGTTGATGGCTAAATAAGAGCGCTTGAGAAATTGTGCAAGGCATAATAGTCCGAATAGCAGTAGCGTGGCGTGGGAAAAAAATTAGGGGAAGCCAGTAGGCTTGTTTGAGACAAGCGAGACCTGCGCAGTTGCGATCAACGTCTTGCTAGTGCGTTGCATGATGGTTAGTCATTTTGTCCGACTTGCTCTGGAGACTCGCCTACATGAGACGTTGAAATCTCGCGGGACAAAGACGCCCGCAGCCTTGAGAGCGAGGCGCGGCGAGGCGGCGCAGTTCCTCTCCACGGGCTGCGGAAGCGAAATGCTTGATGGGAAACGACTCGCTGGTATCTCGAGCTGAGCGCTGATTGGTGGATTTTACCCCGTGCTGCTGATGAAACTCTCCAATTGGCTCGGCAAAAGTTTGTTGTTGTTTTGTGTCGCCACATCCATTCCCATTTTTCATCATTGTTCCAATGTTTATCATCATGAAATGAATATCTATATATTTTATACTATACTTGCACTGCTTACCGTTTTCATACTTTATATATCTTAGCATATTCATACACACTGTTCATACTGCTCACAGGCTGCTGTGTATATCTAGTGTATTCATACCCCTCAGTTTATTCATCATTCAATTCATTCTATATTTTATTCTGTAGATTGTGTACATTACTTTTCACTTTACTGCTTGTTGCACTCCTGGTTGGAAGCTACACTGCATTTCGTTGTCTCAGTACCTGTAATATGTGCAATAACAATAAAGTTGAATCTAATCTTGAGCAGGAACAAATGTATTCACTTAGTACATATCTGACATTAACGATTAAACACATTTGTGCATTCTTTATAAATGCAAACCGAGTCAAGCCGACTCCGGAGGTGGCGGTATGCACCTGAAAGTTGTTTGCAATCCGCCAAAAAACCGAGAGAAGAAGAAGAAGAAGAAGACGAAGCCGACTCCGAGCTGTCCGACTTCAGGCGAGCTTTTTGAGACCTCCCCCGGCTGCGATCGGCTATTCTCATCTACTTTCGAGGCGAGCCGCAACGCGTCTCAAACAAGCCTACCAATACGTCCTTTCTTTTGGGTCGGGGGTGTGGTGGTCAATGTAATAACGTAACCAGATCAGTGATTACAGCACCCGGTATCATTTTACACACATTTGTATCATACAGATGCGGGACTTACACACGCCTGTTCTCTAACCGACAGGTCCGTACGCACTCTCCAGCCGAAACTCTAATAAGCATTCATTCACAAACTAAATCAGGAGACCTTTAACGTTTTACGTTCGATTCGCTCCTTTTTTCCTCGTTGTACACAGCTCCAGTTTGGGCATTGGCCTGTCATCAGATTGTATTTGTTGTTGCTGCTGTAGCGGAAGTTTAGTACAATTATTTTTGATGAAATACTCCAAATCTCCACCCTCCATAATTGCACTTGCTTCAATTGCTTGCTACTTTCTAACGGCGGTGAGAGTGGTGCAGTGACGCTATCTATCGATTAGATTTATGATTAGAAAATTATAAAAGTAGGGTAGACATGTGGATATTATCCGACTGAACAAAACATGCATTTATCTAACAGGTTCGTTATCCACTGACCTTATTTCGAGCTATTTTCCAAAATCCTATGGAGAAATCCCATTGCTTTCTGTCGAGGGAACCCGAGCGCAGCTTACTTCCGGGTTTTAGGATGCGTCACTGCCACACTAAATTGATGTGATTGGATTGTGAGGCAAGGGAAGCCAGCCTCTGGCCTTGGCATGGCCCTGACTAATCACATGTTGGCAGAGGCATGACGTGAGCCTTGTCTGATTGGTCCATCCCTCCATTTTTTTTCACCAAGGGAAGCCAATTTCTGCTGGCCTCCTCTCACAACAGAGAGTGCAATCTACTGTTTCACCATAACATGTAGAGGGGCGCTGTTTCACTATTTGTAAAATACTCAATGAGAATGGGGGAGAGACGGGCCGGCAGCAACACACAGCACAGAAAAATTACCGAAACCAAACGAAGTGTTTTTATTTATTTATTAAAATTATAACTACAATCCGAAAAAACAGGGGAAGCCTTGCTTCCCTTAGCCTCCAGGAGAAAACGCCACTGCCGAATAATCGTTTCATTAATCGATAGATTAATCGATTATCAAATTAGTCGTTTGTTGCAGCCCAATAACCAAGTTTGAAAAACGCCCATAAAGTTGCATAATACTGTGGGAAGAATTTATTATAATTGTCTTTTACCTGTAGCAGGGGTTCTTCACAGCCTCTTTGGGGGAGATGTACATGTAAGGCGAGAGCGGCTTGTCCACAAAAGCCCCAAAGCCCATGCGGAGGTTGCTGGTGGTGCGGTTCATGGCCTCGGCCAGGCCTTTTCCCAAAGTCCTCAGGCGGAAGAGGTCATCGTTCATGGAGTAAGAGAGATCCATGAGGTAGTAGAGATCCACAGGGTAGTCCTCTACCTGACGCACCTTCACTGTGAAGCGCTTAGCATCATCTTGCAAGGGAGATACAGAAACATCATTTTTCAAATAGATGTTCCTCATGGTACATCTTTTATAAAATGTTCTTGATATTCCCCAATCTCTCCACTTCAGGATGTCAGAAACGTCATTCCTTACCTGGCCTGAGGGTGATTTGTAGTCTCTGTGGTTTAATCTGTGTGATATCTTGCGTGGCCCCTGCTGCCTTGTTGCTGAGGGGCCGGTCCTCAATCACCTGCATTTTGCTGATTGGAGACTCCAGAGAAGACGTAGCACAGCCTGCTGCCACCAGGTTACTCTTCAGGTCACACCGGGAAGATCTGGCAAACCCCTGGCCGAAGTCCTGACAGAAGAGGCATGTACATTTTATACAGAGAAGCAGTCAGCTGTTCAGAGATATTTTATGTGTTAAAAATGTGTAATACAGATGTTTATTTAGAGAATTCCCATCTGGAATAAAGCTTTGTTGAGAGATAAGGGTATGTTGGATTGATTTGAAGGATCTGTGATGAGGAAGTTCAACATTATGTTCCTGTCAAACTAATTTCTTGGAATAAAGATGCACTCCAACATCTTCGCAACACAATTAAGCAAATTCCCCCTCAAATTAAAAAGACCATCCCATTTGAACACTGTCTGACAGTTTAACCTGTCTCAGCAATGGTCCAAGTGAAGTCATCCTGAGAAAATAGGGCACTTCGTGTGTCGACTCCACGTTCTACAATGATAAATCACTTCAGATTAGTTTGAACCATTACTACATCCACATGCAGTCACACAAGGACAGTCACTGTGTCTAAAGTGCCTGGATTTCACTTTCAAAATGGAATTAATATTCACCTGGACACATTTGATATTGTAAAAACTAAAATTTCTCAACGATATTAAGCTGTTAAAAGGAGATATGTACCACTGTTGGCTTGCAAAATGTTCATTGCCTGAATGAAGTGAAGTGGAAAAGGAACCCACCTCCTGTAAGCACCACGCACAGCTGGGGTGAACAGCCAGACACTGCTTGCATGTGCTGGCCCCTCTGGAGGTGCAGACGTTAGAACCTGTAACCAAACGATGAGCTGCTTAGTTTTTACAAAAGCAACCAACAGCAATTAGTGTTTACCTTATTTGTGGGTTATCTGTTGTTACAGATTTCAATTCAAATTAAAACACATATATTATACAGTATGAGGAACTTGGCTGAGGAGCAGAGTTTAGGTATATTTGATGAGAACAAGTTAAAGAAAAACTGTTTGTTTAGAGAAATCAAACCAATTAGCAAAATGAAAAACAAATGAGAAGTTTTTCAAGTGTTAGACAAGTGAGTAAAAATACTAATTCTACATACCTAATGTCCTGGCTTGTGCATTACATTACATGTCATTTGTTAGACGCTTTTATCCAAAGCGATTTACATACATTGAGTACAGTGGGCAATCCCCACAGGAGCAATTTGGGGTGAAGTGTCTTGCCCAGGGACACAACGACAAGCTGACTGCAGTGGGACTCGAACTTACTATCCCCTGATTCGAAGTCCATCACACTATCCAGTATCCACTGATCCAAGGCAGGAAAACACATGCACATTTCACAAATAAAAATCACTGACACTTGAATTGGAGAAGGACATGCAGATCTGTCCCAGTCCAATTAATCTGAAAGCATATTTTGTTTAAAGATTTAGTAGAGTTGAAATCTGGTCTGATGTTATTTTCTCCCTGGAATATATTTTTGGCTGCACGGGCAAAACATGTAAACTACATGTCAGCACCTACCGCATACTCCCGTTATTCCAATGCAGATGTAAAGACACATCCATAGTGTCCTGCCCGCCGGGAGAGCACCCATCCTGGTGCGGCTCTGAGAGGAAAGAGCCTGCCAACGAGCTCTGCTGGAAGTACAAGCAGACCAAAAGAAGAAAAAAACTCTTCATCTGCAATCGACACAACTCCAAATAGAGTCAAATGTCTTAACGCCACCCCCTCCCATTCTCCTCATCTACAGCTCTCATTATCATACTATTAACTGCAGTGGGCGGGAAAAGTGCAGCATCCACAATCTGTGAGTTAGAGGAGGTTTTCTTCTGGAGGAGCCGAAGAGGGCAGGTCTGAGCATCAAACATGTGACTTGTTAAACCAGCTGGTAAGTTGTTTTGCACCCTGGTGTCTGTTCTGAATCTGTTACTCAATATTGCGTACGGTCTAGCTAATAATAATATTCAAATGTCATATAAATATGCATATCTCTCGGCACTACAATATGCCTATATTTTAATTAGAAGAGACAAATAACTTCCGCAAAAAAACAATTTGTAGTGTAAGTTATCATTGGAAAATGTAAGTTGTATTGGCTGAATCGCTGAGTTGTGATGTGTGTGATTTATATTACATGCAAATCAGCAATAGGCTTAATATATAGTAGCCCTAAGCGTGAACTGTAATCAAGTGTATATGAGGTTAGTGTATACTGCCCACTAGTGGACATCCGCTGTAAGGACGAGTTTCACTTCTTGGTAGGTCTGAACCAGTCTGAACCTTTATACAGTCTATGGTCTGAACCTATGGTCTCAACACTTTAGCTGCAGGGTGTACAAGGAAAAAACAGACTTGTTTCTGTTATTTATGCCACAAATGACCGAATAATGACTTAAAGATAGGTTGAAAACGTAACTTTGATCAAATAGTTTACCCTATTATTTAAATATGTTTAAAGCACTATTTATCGGTTGTCCTCCTGAGCTACATCTGGTTGTAGTTTGTAATAAAATCGGTGCTTTTTGGAGAGCTAAGTGTCTCTGTTAGCCAAATTCTGACAAAATTGCGTATTTTTCACAAGCTGTAAATTGCTGTGGAGCCACATTGAGTAAACTACAATTATTTGGCAAGAATATATCTTCATAGTCAATGTAAGCTTACCACAGTGGTTGTCGTATAATTAACTATTTGCTCAATTTTTTTCAATTAGAAAGTAAGTCAAAACTTCAACTAATATCCAACCGACTTTCTCGCTTTTTTCTACCTCTCTTTGTTTTGATTTGCATTCTCGGAAGTAGGCCTAAGGCACGTGATCTGATTAATATGTCAATTTTGGTGACATGATGAACCCCTCAAGCAAGGTAAACATTTGTGTTTAAATGTTTCCCACAGTACAAGCTAACTTTTCTTTAAAATACATTAGTATGGTTACATACATGGATCGGATTTCGAGGCGTAGTCGTGGGGGAAGGGGTCTGCAGTTCGGTGGACTAAGGATTGCACCACTGCTTTTTGCAGATGATGTGGTTCTAATGGCTTCATCGGTCTGCGACCTTCAGCACTCACTGGATCGGTTCGCAACCGAGTGTGAAGCGGCTGGGATGAGGATGCACCTCCAAATCTGAGGCCATGGTTCTCAGCAGGACACCGATGGACTGTCCACTCCAAGTAGGGAATGAGTCCTTACCCCAAGTGAAGGAGTTCAAGTATCTCGGGGTCTTGTTCTCGAGTGAGGGAACAATGGAGCGTGAGATGGGCCGGAGAATCGGAGCAGCGGGAGCGGTACTGCAGTCGCTTTACCGCACCGTTGTGACGAAAAGGGAGCTGAGCCAGAAGGCAAAGCTCTCTGTCTACCGGGCCATTTTCGTTCCTATCCTCACCTATGGTCATGAAGGATGGGTCATGACCGAAAGAATGAGATCGCGGATACAAGCGGCCGAGATGGGTTTTCTCCGCAGGGTGGCATGGTGTCTCCCTTAGGGATAAGGTGAGAAGTTCGGTCATCCGGGAGGGACTCAGAGTTGAACCGCTCCTCCTTCGCGTCGAAAGGAGCCAGTTGAGGTGGTTCGGGCACCTAGTTAGGATGCCACCTGGGCGCCTCCCTATGGAGGTGTTCCAGGCACGTCCAGCTGGGAAGAGACCAAGGGGTAGACCTAGGACCAGGTGGAGGGATTATATCTCTTCGCTGGCCTGGGAGCGCCTTTGGATCCCCCAGTCAGAGCTGGTTGATGTGGCCAGGGAAAAGAAAGTTTGGGGCTCTCTGCTGGAACTGCTACCCCCGCGACCCGACCACGGATAAGCGGGAGAAGATGGATGGATGGATGGATGGATAGTATGGTTAACAATGGCTGGACAACACAGGTTTTAATGTGAATATGATAGTGGCTTAATAAGTACATTTAACATCCTACATAACTATTTTGTCCTTGGCTTTAGTACCGTTTACATCCACCAGATGTCATTTTCTTCATGTGAAATCTACAGTTTTTGAAATCTTGTGATTGATGCATCTGCACAAGTGTGGATTTCATGGGTCTTAAACTTATTTAAGTTTCCCCCAGCTTAACACTTCTTTGAGTCTTTGAGTCTTTTGGCCTTTGTTAATGATTATTATGATCACTGAAGCCTGTGAGTTGACTGGGGTGGGAGGATACTGCAGGGAAAACACATTTAGTTAAATTGCTAGTGAGGTAGGTGAGTCTCTCCTGGATTGATTAATGGAAAACATCACTAGTTCTTAGTGTTTGCGTTTGGTTACACAGTCACTCAAGGTTAACCTTTATAACAATTATTTTACCCAGACTTTATGCCTTATGTTTTGACTCCAAGCTGAACTTGCCCTGAGACATTTTCAACAATTCATGGAGAGTGACAAGGAATATGTTTTTTGTTATAATGACAAATAAGCTATTAGGATATTTAGCTTTTGCAAAACAATCATGTTTATCTGCATCTCTGGTTGCTGGACTTCCTCACAGAGAGACCACAAGATGTACGGGTCAACAACAACACCTCAAATACTGAGTATGGGGGCCCCCCAAGGATGTGTGCTCAGCCCCCTTCTCTTCACCCTGCTGACCCACGACTGCAAACCCAACTTCAGCTCCAACCACATTGTGAAGTTTGCTGACGACACTACTGTGGTGGGTCTCAGCCACAACGTTGAGACTAACTAAAGGAAGGAAGTGAACCAGCTGGCCCTGTGGTGCCAAAATAATCTCTTCCTCAATGTGTAGAAAACAAAAGAGATTGTTGTTGACTTCAGGAGAACCCACTACCAACCCCCCCTCCCCCTGACCATCGGCACCGCTGTGGAGCAGGAGAGCAGCACCAAATTCCTGGGTGTGACCATCACAGATGACTTCACCATGGAAAAACAACAACACTGCACTAGCGAAGAAGGCCCAGCAGCGCCTGTACTTCATCCGGAAGCTCAAGTGAGCCGGAGTACCACCCCCCATCATGCTGTCTTTCCACCGAGGTGCCACTGAGATCATCCTCAGCAGCTGCATCACGCTGTGGTTTGGAAGCTGCACCGCCTCCAACCGCAAGAGCCTGCAGCGCATAGTGAACTCTGCCCAGAGGATCATCGGTGCCTCGCTCCCATCACTACAGGACATTTATAACACCCGCTTCACCCGCAAAGCATTGTGGGTGACTACACCCACCCCTCCAACAGCCTCTTCAGCCTCTTGCCTTCAGGGAGAAGGTTCCGCAGCCTCCGCTCGAGCTCCACCAGGCTGAGGAACAGCTTCTTCCACCAGGCGGTCAGGATGCTGAACTCTCTCCCCTCCCTCCTCTCCCCTCCCTCCTCTCCCCTCCCTCCTCTCCCTCCGTCCTCTCCCTCCCTCCTCTCCCTCTCTCCTCTCCCTCTCTCGCCTCTCTCCCTCCCTCCCCGCCTCTGACATCTCTCCCCTGACCTCTCCACCTTGCATCCCACCTTTCCCCCCTGCCCCAAATGGACCTGGACTTTAACTCCCCCCCCCCCCACACACACACACATACACACACACACACACACACACACACACACACACACACACACACACACACCACACACACACACACACACACACACACACACACACAACCTTCCCTCATCCAGCACCAGTCACTTTGCTACCCATCTCCGCTGCACTGAAACTGTACTTTAAACATAATTTTCTCATTTGCACTAAAGAATACTTGCATTAATATCAATTCATGTTCTGTGGATTGTGTTTTGTTTTAATATATTATTAACTAGTACTTATTACTACTATTACTTAGTCTTATACCCCGTTTATCTAGGCCCTATTTGTATCTTGTTTTATGCCACGCTGTGGGACTGCGAGAAACGGTATTTCAAGATTTCTGTAGGTTTAACACATGTAGACATTTTGACAATAAAGCTGACTTTGACTTTGATCTCAGATGAAATTGTTTCATTGAAATTAGCGATGTTGGCATGGCAGTGAGATGTGACGAGAACTGGCCATGGAGCGGAGCCTTGAGGCCAAACAGATGTAAACAATTAAGGAACACAATCACTACTAGAGACAATGAAGACTGGATTACTTCTGCTCATCGGTTTGAAAGGCATCGATGCCACACGATGTGCAAATGTGTGCACAAACGTCCCTTCTTCTTCTCCGTTCTTTATTGTTCTTCCTCTCTTTGTTGCTTTTTGGACAATTCTCCTTCCTCTTGTGCCTTGTGTTGCTCAACTTTCCATCTGTGACTCTCTCTCTTGCTTCATGTTTGCCTTTCCTGCTCTTTTCAAAACTTCCACAAGCAGTTGCACAACATGCTGCGAGGGAAAAGCTCCTCTTTTCTCCAGCAGGTTTGATTGACAGCACCCCTTGCCCACTCTGCAGTGTGTGTGTGTGTGTGTGTGTGTGTGTGTGTGTGTGTGTGTGTGTGTGTGTGTGTGTGTGTGTGTGTGTGTGTGTGTGTGTGTGTGTGTGTGTGTGTGTCCTGAGCTTTCCGTGTTAGCAGCACAATTTTCTTCAGATGTGAAACTAAGTTTTAGCCAAATCAATCATACCAGACCATTTTACAGTACCAGGTACTGAAGTAAATAATTATTACTGTATCAGATTTAACTAACACATTTGTCCAAGTTCAGCATCAGCCTTCTTTACTCGAAAATTGCATTTTAAATAGGAATATAAGAAATGGAACACATATTCAATCTTCAGAAATGTTCTCAATAAATGGAGAGTACTCTTTCTTCATAAGCTTAAAAATGCAATTGTGGTGAATCGTTTGCGTTTTCAGTTTCCTATCTACTTTAAACAACCACCAAATGAGAGTCACTATTGTGTGATTAATTATACAACTCCTAAATAACATTACAATCTATATTTCTTACAGTGAGTTTGTTATTTAATGTTTGTTGTCTATTCTAGGTGGAGAAATCCACTATTATATTTAATTTTAATACAACCTTAACCTTTCTATATGTACTTCAGATACTCAGTAAACCTCTTTTTACTTTCCCTTAATATTCCTGTATGTAATATAAGTTGCCCCTTATCAACCCTGGAGCTCTTTAAATTATAATTAAGTACATTCCTTAGTCAATGACAAGTTCACAATGCAACTATGGTAAAAATCAGTTTTCAAAACTTTTCATAAAAATCACAATTTGAAGAACATTGACATGTGTATCCAACAAAGACTATGTTAACAACAACAAATTATTGTTTCTTATTTATTTCAACATAGCTACTACACTCTAAAAACAAATGCTTTGGCTCAACAAAAGAAAATCAACGCAACAGCTGCATCAATGTGTATTGAGTTATGACAACTTCTAATGAAATTGTGTTGAACCAACAAACTTATTTGAGTTAGGGGAGAAGGCTTTTCCTCTATCAGAGGTGTTTTTAATTACCACTTTTTAATAATTGGTAGCATAAACACACGTGTTTAAGTTGATTACTCCAAAAATCAAGTTGTTCCAACTAGAGGGGATGTGATGAGGTCTTTGGATTAGCTCTCCTGGCACTGGATATGATGAAAGGAGGTGGATGGGGGGGAGGAGGCGGGCGGCAGCATGAAAACCTGGAATCACAGCTGACTGCAGGAGAGAGGAGAACCATTTTAAAGTTTGGCTGCAGCACGGTGATTGGCTGCTGGAGAATGAGGTGAATGTAATAGGTTAAAGAGAACGCCTGTGATGAGCTGATTATAAGCAGCTGCGGAGTGAATGTATATACACCCAGTCTTCCTGAAAGAACTTGCGCTGAGCTTAATTTAAATCTTGAGAAAAAAAGATAAATAACACAAATTGAAATTGCCCCACAAATAATAAATAAACACATTAGCCATATTACCATGGGACATGGGGACACAGCAAATACATGCTGCCATCACAACGAAGTTAGAGGCCTTTGCATATTTAAAACCAGTGCCAAATATGTAAAATCTGTAAAGTTTTTGTAAAACTACAGAAACAAACTTTCAATGGCCACCAATCTGC